GATCTTGATAGTCTAAACTTTTGCTTTCTACTTATCACATTTTATTTATGCTTCACCCATTGAGGGACAAGTGAGTGATTTTTACATTTTGGTGAATATAGGTAATGTTGCTCTGGACTTTGGACAATATTGCCCTGCTAATATTTTATAATAAGTTTTAAATTACAAGAAATTTAAGTTATTTGATCTAAAATTCTGAGTTTTTCTAGTAATCTAAACCTTTCATTAAGGTTTGAGACTGAATTGCTTATAATTTGTATTCTTCATCAAGAATGGAAGTCATTATACAAGCATCTTTCTGTAAAAGAGTACAGTCCCCAGTTGGGATTTTAAAAAAAGAAAACTGGAAACATAGAAATGTCTGCTTGCTCCAACAGGACCTCGCAGAGTGAAATAGTGCTCTAGGCATTGTGAATTCAAAGTCTAGGTTTTCCCATCCATCTGGTTACATCAGCCTTTCTAAGACCTGACACCATGGGAAGTGTGTTACTGTTACCAGGCAGAGCAGATGTCGGCTCCCTCTCAGGCTTTCCTTCTTGGAATCAAGATCCCAGGATAGCACTGTGAATACTAAGTCAGAGCAGTATGCTCATGGACTCCACTCCTGGTTGAAGTCACAAAGCTCTGTTCATGGAGTTCCAGTATGGAGACATGCCTACAGGGAATCTAGAATATTTATGTTGACTAGTCTTTACTGTGGCCAAAGAAACATTGAAAAGTGGGTTTTATTTAGATTTTATTTATGTTATGCTATTTTATTAACACATTTATCGTAACATGATAATGTGGTGATGAGGAGTCGTCTGTGGATGAGACTGTCAGAAGGCACCCCGTTACATTGGAGCCACACAGGAATGGATGCATTAGGAACACAAACTTTTCATTATATCTTATTTGTTTATTGGGGAGTGGGGAGGGATGTGCATGCCATGGCACAAGCTTGGAAGTCAGAGATTTACTTATGGAGTTAGTTGTCTTCTCCCACCACGTGCATCACAAGGATCCCACTCAGTACATCAGGCTTAGCAGCAAGCAGATACTGAGCCATCTGTTTGGTCCCCTGAAAATTTTAAAGAAGCGCTCAAAACCTATTAAGCTTATTTAAAAGTGATGAGGAATTTTCTGTAGAGTCCTAAGAAAAGAATGAGTTAAGAATATGCCATATCTTGAAGTCTATGCTGTAACTCAAAAGTTTCATAAGAAGCTGAGCATTGTGATGTATGCTTGCCACTGTTCCCAGAGCCTATGTAGTAGAAGAGGACATAACTCAAAAGTTTCATAAGAAGCTGAGCATTGTGATGTATGTTTGCCACTGTTCCCAGAGCCTACGTAGTAGAAGAGGACAACCTTGGTGGAAGGAGAGAATGAGCAAACACACACACACACACACACACACACACACACACATATTTGTAAATAAATAAGTGCTAAAAAATTACCAGAAGACAACTTTTAGCTGATCCAGACAATGGCCTAACACTTCCTCAAGTTCTCATAGCATATATGTTTATGTGCAAAAACTTTTATTTAAAAAGCACTGGCCATATAATAAAAATTAATTTATTAGTTAAGGGCTAGAGAGATGACTCAGCAGTTAAGAACACTGGCTGCTCTTGCAGAGGACCCAGGTTCGGTTCCCAGTACCCACATGACAGCTAACAACCATCCATAACTCCAGTTCCAAGGACATCTTGTGACTTTCATGGGTACTGCATGTATGAGGTGCTCTTAGATACATGCAGGCAAAACACTCAAACACATAAAATAAAAAATAATTTGCTGGGAGTGGTGGCACATGCCTTTTATCCCAGCACTTGGGAGACAGAGGTAGGTGGATCTCTGTGAGTTTGAGGCCAGCCTGGTCTACATATTTCAGGACAGCGGGGGTTACAGGGAGACCGTGTCTCAAAAAAACAAAAATAAATAAATTTTCTTAAATTGGCTTTTGAATTCCAGAAAGGATAGTAATGAAAGTATAACTTAGTTTGAGCTGTTTAAAAAGTCATCATTTTAAGTCTGTCCTTGTGTCATTTCATCACTGCTGTGACCAAATGCCTGGCACAAAGAGAGAAATTCCTCTTTGACTAATAGTTTCAGAGTACAGTCCATGGTCTCTTGACCCCATGTTTCTATAAGAAGATCATGGCAGTAGGAGCAAGTGCTTAGAAAAAAAAAAAGTCTTCATCCCTGAGAGAAGGCATGCAAGAACAGACCATGGCAAGACAGAGCCCCCTGGGACACCCCTCCAGGGACCTACTTCCTCTAGCCAGGCTGTGCCACCTCCCTTTCACCACCACCTAGTGTTGCCATCATCTTTTGAATCCATCAAGGGATTAGTCCATTGATTAAGTCAGAACTCTAATAATCTAATTGTCTCTGGAAATTCATCACAGATCAACCCAGAGGTGTGTTTCACTAGTCTCCTAGGATCCAGTCAAGTGACAATCCAAATGAACCACATCAGGTTTTTATAAACCTATATAAACACGTTATACATGAACTCCTGAAAAATAATATTAAAAAATACGAGAAGACTTTGGGGCTGGAGAAATGACTCAGCAGTTAAGAACATTGGCTGCTCTTGCAGAAGAGCTGGGTTCAAATCCCAGTGCCTACATGGCAGCTAACAACCATCCTTAACTCCAGGGGATCAGACTTCACTCTTCTGTCTCCTGTGGGCATTGCATGACACCGGTGCACTTACATGCATGCAGCCATAACACTCAAACACATTAAATTAAAGGGTTTTTTAAGGTAGACTTGGACTCTAGATTCTTAAAAATTGTTTTTGGGGGGCCATCGAGATGTCTCAGTTAGTAAAGGCACTTGCTGCTAAACCTGACTACCTGAGTTCAATCCCCAGGACCCACATGTCAGGAGAGAATCAACTCTGGAAAGTTGTCCTCTGATCTCCACATTACACACACACAACACACATACACCTCAAGTGTCTAACTATAATGGCACACCCTCATGAAGCTAG